ATAGCGGTTCGCCCTAACTGGACATAAATCCTGTTGCTTTACGGTGAGATACTGAAATGAATTAATCGTCTTCTATGTCATCAGAGCTGCTTTCTAGCTTTTTGAAAATGCTTAATGCATTTGTTTTAGAGGCTTGAAAAGCACGTTCCAGAAGTTAGACTTGCACAACATTTAGTCTTTCAAATACAGTATTTCTTTCATGTATCCAATATCTGGCTAAAGGTTTTGGCTCTGCAAATCCCCTGGCTTATTGACATTATTCTTCCATCCTCCTCTTCTTCCCCCAATACTGTGATCCAATTCAGTGCGAATGCTGACACGTGTAGCCGAGGCTAACTTGCAACGTGAACTTGTGACAGAAACCAGCCTGTGTAACAGTATACATGTGTCCTGCTGCTCTTACATCACTGAATTCCCCAGGCTCTGATGTAAATGGCAGACTGGAATGCACATTCTACCCAACTCATCCTACGAATTGGGAATCTCACCAAGCTTTCTAATCCAAACACTGATATCTCTGTGACTTTGCAAGTACTCTGATCCAAAGGAGATTTTCCAATAAGGCCTGGAATGTCTGCCAGAATATCTATGCTTATCCCGAGTGCCTGTCAACAGCTGCCACATCATAAAACTGTACAACAAAAAGCATCAGGAAAAAACCCCACTCTTACTAGCCAATGCTGCGTGGAAAACTTTGAGAAACTTTCTATTAAGGAATAGTTCTCTCCCCTTCCTAGTATTTATTTCAGGCACGTCCCCAATATTCTCAAGCTCCCTGTTTATATATGGGCTGTTTTTCTAGTTCTGCGCTTTTACTTCTTATTGAACCCCCTCACACATTTTACCTGATGCACAGGAAATTCCGCAGAGCACTAGTGACCTCACAAACTGAAAACTCACTATGAAATGGAGACTCACTGGATCTTCTAGACACGTGATTTAGCACTCTGAGGGTAAAAGTAAGAGCCAAAAAAGGTATTTTATTAAAAAAAAAAAAATGTGTCATGTGGAAGAACAGAAACCTTACCGTAGAGTGGGACACAGAACTGGCCAATGAGCACAGATCACTGGCTCAGAATGGTGACTTTTTAATTTAATTAAAAAAAAAAACAACCCAAAAAAACCTGATTCTCTCTGTTGCCTTCAGGTACTTCTTTTGAATTTACACTATGCTCAATCTACATTTTGAAGATGGTATCCTTGCTATTATCAAGACGTGTATCAGGGTTCATATATGATAAGGTATGTTAGAAATGTTTGATATTCTATGGTAACAACACTGCGATGTGCATTGCGTTTAGCAGATTAGATGCAAAGCATTGTAACATAAAAACTAAGGTTTGGATTTCAAAGGACATTAAAGGATTTAGATTCTCTGCTTTAAGTCAACTTCAGTAACAGATCTGTAACTTTCTTAAATTACTTTAAAAATCTAAAGCATTATTGCTTAGCAAGTACAAGTTCTGAAAACACACTACTAAAAAAGGGTTTCAGACTGTCCTCTCAATATTAGCACAGATGAGCAATTACATCTTTACTGCAGTTGCATGTGCAGAGAGAGGAACCACTTCTAAAAGTCAGGCACAGAATGTTTTAGAATAAGTCATTTCCTCTGGCAATGAGCTAATACTTTTCCCATTGAGCAAACAGGGAAGCAGGTTTGTTGTGAAAGACAGTTCTGACTTTTAAAGGAACTCAGAACTTTTATCACCCACCCTGATCTATGGCTTTGTGAGCTTGCTTCTAACTGTCCAACACCGTTTGACCATAAGCTTAGTTTTTGTTTCATTCACAAGAAAAGATAAAAGTGACAAGCATCTGCATACATTTGCCACTGTTCTCAGTCTAAGCATAATATTTCCAGAGCTTTTCTCCATGAACTGCTGTTTATTTCAAGATCAGGGAGGCCGAGTTTGTGAGAACGAGTTTGTGCCACTGCCTCTGGAAAAAGGCTGCACGCTGGATTTTCTTCTTTCCTTTTACTGATAAATAAAAATACAATTCTATCTTATTTACAAATAAAAGACCAAAAATTGAAATTTATTAAATGTATTTTTTTCACAGTAATTCAATGCATCAAAGAAACTGACTCCATCAAATAAAAATATTTCATAAATATACTGACACAAGTCCATAAAAACCTCAAGGCACAGATTCAGAAACATTTGTTTTCAATCTTGATTTTCTTTGTCATTAAGGATAGATTTTAATTCTGCCCATGAAGGAAAAACTGCAACTTTTTCTCTCAGATACTTATACATGCATATACATTTGTCCTTTGTACACAAGTTCATTCAGTGCATTAGAAAATACATCATCCACTTACTCTCTCTCTGCTCCCTTTCCTTGATTATAGCATCCAGCCATTTCTGTTTGTCCTCTGCAGTCTTGGCCATACAGACAAACCATTTGTTTTTGGCTGTGTTGTGTATCTTCCAGCCATTTGTCACAGTGTAGCCGTTGCTGTGGTAATCTGCTATAAAAATCCAAAGCACAATGCACACGGTGAATAGAAGGCCTGCCACTTTAATCAAATCAGTGTGGGACACCTTAATTAAAATTTTTTTCTTTGAAGAGCGTAATTTCTGGAGGTGTTCCTCATGCATCAGTCTTACTGACTGTCCATGTGACCGGTTGTTACTTACCACTCTGGAAGTACAAATATTAATAGAAGTATCCATGGCTAGGCTGTTCAACTGACTGAATGTTTCAGTCCTAAGAATGACACTCTGTAATTTCACCTCAGAAGAAAAACTAAAATATTTTAAATACCATGACATCAGTGAAAAAGTCTATGATGTTTATTCAAGTTATCTGTTCTGAACTTTCTGGGGACACGCTAACTTCTTGCGCTGTAAGGATTTTTGCCCACAGGACACAGGATCTCTTTAAATGTCAACTGTTTAAAGGACATAATATTAATTCCTGACTTATTACAATAGGAGCAGGGGCTGGTGTGGCCTTTGTGGATGAGATCAGAAACCCATCCAGTCTTCCTGCCTGTGTCAGAACACAAGAATCGTAACACAACTGCATTCCCATATTTTGTTCATAGCCACATTCCATGCTAAGACTAATATTTGGTAGTATTCTAAATGAGAAGAAGATCCAGAAGTCCTGTTATTATAGCTGTAATGGCTTAAGATGTAAGAGAAGAAAGGATGAAAGAAGATAAAGTATCTTTTACTAAATTAACTTGGATTAGGAGAAAAAATAGACAAGCTCTGGCGTACACAAACTCTTCACAAGGTCATTTCAGAATGAAGGACTAGTGCCTGAAAGCCTGTCCAGTCTTTCAACTATGCAAGTTGGTCTAATAACGAAGGCATCGGAAGTTACATAGCTTACTTACAATTTCATTAAAGGAGATGAATGAGTACTTTTGTACCAACTTCAAACACAAGATCTGGACTTGCTGTGTTCTTAAAAGACAGCATTTGGTCTCTTACCTGTTCCATCTTCCACATTCTCCACCTCCATGACTTCTGTGTTTATTCGGCCCCTGAAGATATACAGGGACCCGTTGATTGATTTCGTCCGTTTGGATGGTTTTTTCCCAGTAACTCTGCAATTACGATTTAGACTGTCAGCAACACACAAGCAAACAGTGTACCACATACATGCATAAATGAACCTGAGATATGACTATTAAAAAAGGATTCCAATACAGTGCTTTGTGGTGTTTGACCATGTCTCTGATTTTAAATAATTGGAATACTCAATCAGGTCACAAAGGTAAGCATACAAGAGTGTCAGTACAGCGATAAAGAGCTGATTTTGCAAGATTAAGTGAAGACTGGATGCCTTTCAAGGTTTATGTTCTTGATGAAGAACTGATTGAAATGCCAGTATGGCTGAACTGCACATGGCTTTGGGATGAAAACTGCAGTATCACCTGACCCAATGTTACATTTGACTCCTCTGTTTGCCTAAAGCTTTGATAAATTTGTGGTATGTGTACCAATTTTCAAATATGAAGTGAAACACGTAAAAAGGCTAGTGTCACATGGTCTGTCATGTGTGTTAAATGCCATTGTATGCGGCATTTGTGAAGGTGCTGCACTGGCGATTTTGAACCGAAGTTTACATCCTTATCCACAAGCTTTATAGTGTCTCTGTTGAAGCGTCTTACAAAAAAATTCAGGAAAGCACTTTTCCTTGCTAGTTATGTTCTGGTTTTTACGTCTAGAGTAGGTTCAAAACTATCCAACTGACACCTGCTGAGCTTTAATCTAAGAACAACCCTGCTATGTGAACCAAAACACAACTGGTCAAGCGATCATCATTTGAGATGGCAGGTGTCCAACTCTGTACAGCGAAGGGACTGCCGTGGCAACTTGCCAGGAGCTCTAAGATTCAAGGAATATGGCAATAAAAAACAGCTGGGGAGAAAATTTCCGTCAAAGTGAAATATCTATGATAAACTGAGGTGAGAGGAGAATCACCAAGTCTTTCTGAACAATTTTTCCTTTTACGACTAGCTTTAGTGACAAAAGTATACCTTTAGTGATGACCATACATTTACATCCATTCAGACTGACGGGGACCGAGATCTTGGAGCTATTACATCATTTTCTAAAGACAACTGTCAGAGTCAAAAGAAAAGCTGTCCTGGCAGCCTTAGTGAAACCCTTTAAATACTCAGCCCATTTCCCCACATGAAATATATTGTTCCTGACATCAGGATTCAATTTAAACTGCAGTCTATGATCCTGCTAAAAATACAAAACAATACTCAGCCCTGAAAATCTATGTCATCAGTTTGTCAGACTTCCCCAAGCTTCTGCAAAAGATGAGATTGCAGTCTTGGATCTAAACTCACAGATCTAATTCTGATTCTAAACACATCTTAAATTGGTCTCAACAACACTACTCCTCATTTATGCTATTGTGAGAAGATATGATGCCCAAATTCAAATGGCTGCATTGTTAACTACTCATCAAAGACTGAGGCCTGAATTCTGACTGCACTTTTCAATCAAGGAAAACTCCAGTGATTTCTACAAGGTAAGCACAGTATAAGCGAGATGAGAACCAGTCGTTCAATTTCAAGTTAGGAACAGACCCAGGCAGACTTTGGATTTTGTTTTGGTTTTTTTTCTTCCAAAATCTGTGTCCCACTAAAATGTCAGTTGTTTGTCAAGCAGCTGGCCAAATGATCACACCAGCACAACTGGACAGACATTTCCATCCCGGACTAATTATAAACAGCAGCTAGACAGGAGAAATATCCAAAATTAAAGTTGTTCAGCAATCCCTAAATATATATTTTTCATTAGGCAATTCTCAGCAGACTTAATAAAATATTCTACTTTTTAATGGAAATCAGATTTTGGACATTTCATCAGTTCAAGCTACATTATTAGACAAACAATATTGATCCTTTGGGAAAATCAAAGTGTTACAACAGCCTCCTCCAAAATCAAGCCAAACTGCAGATTAGCTCAGTAGTATCTCCTGTACAAAAACAGACGGTTGCTTAAAAGGCAGTAGAACATTTTGTTTTCTAAATCTCAGTATTCCGGGAAAAATGCCTGCACAGTGCGGGAGGGGCTAGGCTAACCTGAACTACAAACGGGACTAGAAAACCAGTTTCGAAGAGCTCTGTAAAAGTAAAAGATTAGATATCAAACTGATTCTTTTTTTTTTTTTTTGATAAGGAATAGTTTTCCCTTAGAAGACACACAAATTTCTGAACTCTGTTGCATATGGAAGTTTGGATTTTGACAAATCTGGTAAAGTATCAAAATGAAATGTTTCATCTTTCTTGCTTCATTTCAGCAGAGTCAGAATGATTCAGTTAGATAATATTAAAAGCCATGTAAGATTGAATTCTGTAATTTTTTTTCAATTTAAATGTTTAGATTACATTCTAATAATTTCAAATGTAGATTTCACCTAGTAATTTGTATTTATGTTGTATAGTTTCAGCATTATCCACACAAAAAGTCTGAACATTACTGAAATTATTTTTTCCCAGTTTAATGGTTCCAAAATTTCTACTGAACAAAAAACTAGGAAATAAACCCAAATTTTGAGATATGAGAATTTTCTTTAGAGAAAACACTCTGGGTTTTGAGAATTTCTAATTGGGTTGGCCATCACCAGTAAGGAAGTATAACTTGAAGAAGGGGGAGGATATTACAGGAAAGGGAGCAGGAGGGGAACCTGGAGTGTAGAGAATGCATTGTAAATTCAGAAAAGACCAAGACATGAGAATGAGACTGGAGCTGCGAAGGTGAAAAGCTCAGGAACTGAAATAGCGTATAGTTGCTGCAGAAGGAAACTGCCCTCCACACTGCCAATGCTATTTTAATAATAAGCAGTAGGTATTAATAATGCTTAAGTTGTATAAGGTGGAATGATGCAAATATTGTTACTAGGGTAAGAAAGGAAGACAACACAAAGAACACATGGACTGCAAATGATGAACAGCAACTTGCTAATCTTCATCTCTTCCTCACTCCTCTGTGCCCTGCATCTATTTAATGCGTTCTTAGTCTTCCACTTTCCTCTTTCTTGGCTTTATATAATTTTTCACGTCACCCTCTTCTGCTTGGAATAACCTCACAATGAAAGTTGGCAAGGCCTCCTTCTTCACATCACTCCTGGAGACCCATCTGCTCTGGGAAGCTCTCCAGCTGTAAAAATTCACTCTGTGTTTTTTCTGCACTGTATCAATTTCTGCCTTTGGATTGTGCACTTCTCAGGGTGGGGACCCCATTACTGTCTGGTATATTTATCCTACCATACAGTGCCTTCTTTCTCGTATAGTCTAAGTAATAGCAACAGGTAAGAACAGAGGAAAGTCACACCTGTGACTCAGCCCTACAGAGCAACAGGTAATACAGTGGGTGCTCAGTAATTGATCATACTTTCTACTTACAAAACTTCTGAATGGTCCCATTATAAAACTGTAAAGACAGAGGGACTCACCTGGATTTCCTCTTGCAATAGACCAGTAGATTATCGAATAGAAAGAACATTCTCTCCTGGATATTCCCTGCTGAAATTTTTAACAAAGTCCCTTGGAGCAAGAGCTGTGTGCAGATATCTGTTAGATTTGACCCCTGAAACACAGAAAAGAGATATTCTTTATTTTTAACTTTTTGTGTCTGTGCACAAGGAAGGATTTTTACTAAAACACTGTTATCTTATCTGCACGTCATTAAACTGTGAGATAACTGATGCATTCGTAAGAAGGAAGTCCTCTATTTCTTAATGTGGCTAAACACACCATGTTTTCTCCGGATTACAAATATTTTTTTTGAGCCCTCATACACTACAATAAATCTTCCCTATTAAACTCCAGGAGACTTTTTCCTGAAGAAATCTTTCACTCTCAAAGCAGCTGTATTGTGAGTCTCTCAAGACCATTAGTCTTCCCTTCATACCCTGAGCTATCATTGCAAATATCACAAGTGATAGCTTTAGGAATGCTTTACAAAAGAATAATGGTATTTGTCTAACATTGCAGCTCTGGTACTGACACACGTCACTGTTAACCATCTTTCTGCAAAACCATCTTTTTTGTTAGAAGTATATGCAGGTGCACACCTTTCTGGAATTCTAATAAACACATGCAAGTTAGAAACATAGCCATGAAAACCAGAGGCTGGGTCCTGGACACTGTGCTAGCTGCTGTGTGCAAGCCATTATACGCACCAGACAGCCCCAGAGATAACTCAGCCTGGTGCTCAAGACACTTTACCCTGTGAGGATGCCCAGAAGCTGAAAACCACAGCAGATCACTCTAAACCACACACTCCCCAAACAGTTACTCAGATTATCCCTAGGAAAAGTGATCATATGGTCCTTTAAATGGGGCCCTTTAGGACCAAAGCAGTTGGGCCCAAATGAAAAACAACTACAGGACTGTTCCAGGTTGCTCTCAGGACAGTCAAACTCTAAGTGTCCCCACATTCTGAACACACACAGTTGAGAATCTCTTCCTCAGCTGTTCCACTGACCAAACAAGATTTGACTAAATCTTAGGCACTAGCCTTAAATTCCTTGATCTAGTATTAATTCAAAGGTACAAGAGCATCCTAGCAATAAAGGTCCCTTTTCGGAAAAATACCCTGAGGCACTGAAAACATTTACCACCCAGTTCTGGATCACTTATTAGTTTTTGCATTTCTCTTTGAGTTGGAAGGAAGAACAACTTAGGGTAATGGTAACTTCCTTCCATGGCCAACATGCAGATAAGGAAGTGAATTAGATTTATGCCCTGAGTCTTTCTGGAAAAGAGAACTAGCTTTGCATTGCAAGACATTCGATATCAACAACACTGCTTGATTTCCAAAGGTCCATTAACCCTATATTCACAAATAATAGAACAACTTTGTAAAACACAATTCACCCCACTAAAAGAAACTGAAGACATCTCTGTGCACAGGCATGGAATCCAGCTCCATCTAGAAAGTCATCCCAGAAAGATTTGTTTGAATGATTTTAGGCATTGCATGTGTGATTCGCTTTTTGTTTTGGGTTTTTTTTGGTGGTGTTTTTTTTTTTCTTTTGAGGAAGGTGCAGTCTGCTGCCATCAAGCTATTCAGGGGAAATCACTGAATTGAAATCATCCTTTCTAAATGCAATACAGTCACTCTAAAGGTGTGAATGAAGCTCTGATTACACCATTTTCTAAATCAAACCTTGCCAGCTGTGCTGTCCATGCACTGCTTTTAGTTAACAAGGATGGGGCTGTTCTTTAAAGGCTGCCAAGTACACAGCACCAATTTGTGTGTTCCACATATGTGTTTCTATACGTTCTGGGTAGAATGATGCAGGAACATGTATAGATGTAATAGTTCCATCTGCTGTCCTGATATGTTTTTATTTTCTTATTCATTCTATAGACAGAGTTAATTCATGTCCAGAAATGGGTACTTGCTATTTTGAAAATGACCTGTTGCTGTCTCCAGGAGAAATCACTGTATCTCAGAATTATGACCTCGAAGGCCTACTAGCACATACACAAATAGGAACAGAAACTGACTGACTGTACAATATAAAAGCATGCTCCTCATGTGTTTTGCCCATGGAGAAATCAAGGCTTCAGAGCACCTCAACATCAAGTACTTAATTTTCTGAAAGATACCCTAAGACTGCAAAAGCAATGAGCACAGTGATATCAGTAATTGCAGTCAATCTTTTACCGACACAGGAATTGCTGGGTAAAATTATCTGGCCTATTTTGTGCAGGAAGTGAAAGCAAGCAATTTCAACGGTTGCTTCTCGCCCAAAAGTCTAAGAATATTAGAATTTTTCCATCAGACCCATCATGATGGTATCTAAACACTGTTGATGCATTTCCTGTTTGCTGTTGACCTAGCTACTTCCCATTTATACAGATTTGAGAGGTTTTTTTCAATATTAAGAAACAGAGTAAGAAGATTTATTTGATGTTTTCAGAGACAACACAGGATTTCTCACCTTTCTAAGTGGGATTACGCTGTGGGGGGAGAGAAAAAGAAAACATCATAGCTAGTGGAATTGCAAATTACAGCCAATTATAAAATGATTGATCTGCCTAAGCACTAACACATATCTTACAACTCACGCTGTTCTGTGATGGGGGTTTTGCTTCCCTACGCATTTCAGACTGGGAGAATTTGGGGATATGTAGCCATTGTTCAGTAAAAATAATTCACAAGGACTCATGAGGAGGAGCTCTCCCCACAGAAAAATCAATATGGAATTAACAGAAACAGCATATAAACTTGTTCTTCACTAAGCAAACAGAAACATTATATACAAAAGTTGGTCTTCTCATGCATCCTCTACTTTTCTTTCTCATTTTTTTAAACTAGTCTTTGGTTCCCAGAAGGATTAACCAGAATCAAATTGACCTGCCTGAGACTAATCCATAACATACATCTACAAGGATTCTGTGCATTCCAAAAGAATGAATCTGAGCAGGGTTCATTTTGATGAACAGACCTCTGATTAAGCTGCAGGCCTTCAGCGGCTTCAGACTTGGCCTACTTTAACATTATAATCTGTCATCTCATTACAATCTGTCTCAGAAAAAGACTGACAGGATGATGCCGGTATACGCTCAGTGTATGATAGTGATAGTTGTATCAGAGAAGAAGACGCAGATTGGTGGGTAGAGATGTTGAAGAAAAAAAATGTTGAACTGAGGAAAACGCTCTAAACAACTAGTGCTCTTCGTGAAGCTACAGATGACTCTCAAGAGCAAAAAGAGACACTGCAGAAGCAAAATGATGTTACGCTGTTCTTCATGTTGGAAATATTAAGGGTGGCACTGATGGCAATAGGATGAAGATCACACCAGGTACGGTCCATTGGGACAGCTGGAAGGAAGTGCAAAGTTATAGAAACCAGTGAAACTGCTGGTTTGGTTAAACAGAAACATTAGACAAGGTGCAGCCTGTTCCAAATTACGTGACCAAATTAACACCAAACTTCATGTTGGGCTGCTTGCACACTCCCCAGATTCAGGCTACATCCCTTATAATTGTAAAATATTTGGTCATAAATAAGCTGATCTTCACTTTTTTTTGACAATTTAGATGTCTTGGATTAAAACGGAAGGTGTAGGCCTTGTCGAAATAGCATGTATGGTATACAACTGTATATATATACAGGCACCAGTGTTTCAGAATCCATATCCATGCTAACAGAAAAGGGAAATTTTCTATTTCATAGGACAGATTGTCATCAGGTGAACTAAAAATAGAATTGCCTTGTAGACTTCCTCCTACAGCCAGCTTTGTGGCTTACACCACCGCATTGTTAAGCTGAAAATTTATTTAATTCAGCAATTGCAGGTTTCCGTAGATAGAAGTTAGGAGCCCTTCTCATTAGGAATAAACTGTGAAATACATCTGAAAGAACTAAAACGAGTTATTTACAAACACAGTACTTTGCTCTAGAGTCATAATTTACAAGACCCCTAGCACTGTGGAAATCCAAGATAGGAATCTGTCAATCAGTTTCAAACTTCTTTACATATACAGAAGAAAAAAAAAAAAAAATGCCATCATGTTGAGCATTGGCATGTGTCTGTGACGTATAAAGCTAGTTGTCCTCCTTTTAATATGCCACTAGAATAATTTAGAAAAGTTCCACAGCTTACTGGGAGGGAAAAACACTTCTTCCTTTTTGAAATTTTGAGCAGTGACCTACTAGGTGACTGTTACAAAACAGTGTATATAAACAAATCTGAAAGGGTTTTCAGCCCCAGAATGTTGCTGTAGATAAGTTACCCCTAAAAAAAACCAAAGGCAGTAAGTTCGGATACCACTTCATTCACGGCATCATGGACACTTTAACAGTCATGATTGAGGCTCCAGAGCTCAAACCATGCCTCTTGCCTAGATGACCCATGAGCTGCATTGAACCTCAAATGGTTTTAACTGTTTCTACAAGTCTTGCTACACAGAACATTATATGACTTTGTTTGCTGAGCTTGCTATCCAAAAAATACACAGCTGGATATCTGGGTTGTTCTCACATCTTTAGCTGGATGCCAAAAACATCCTTCAGGGAAAAAATGAGCAAGGTTTAAAACATACACGAAAGATAAAAAACAACCCAAAAGAAAGTCATGGAGAGCACCCAAGAGTCCGAACATGAGGAAGTTTACACGACCTCTAACAAAGTGTCCTCAGCTAAGAAATCCTCAGCTGGCAATGATCAGCCTCAACATTTTAAATGTCAGTCTCACTACACGCCGACGCCATTCTCTCCATGAGACCATTTAACACCACTGACTCCCTACAGAGCACCAGAGGCTTCCAACTCCACTGATTCAAGGACCTCAACTAAAGTCATCACAAGATGAGCTGCCAACCCTTTGCACATCATCCTGACTTCCCAGTATTTCTACTGAGGGGTTCTTTTTCCAGATTTCCTCTTCCCCCAAGCTTCACATTCTTATTTTTCTCCCTCCCACAGTAAATGTTTCTACCTACACATATCCACCTACACAGAGATCCACCTACTGATAAACACATGACTAGAAAAACATCCATGAGTAACTTAACTGGAGCAAACACAAATACACCAGTTGCTTTCTAATCTAATGCTTGTTAATCTAACCTTTATCTTTTATACAGGAAATCTGTATGGAGCTAAGTGAGCTAACTTTCAAAGCTTCCAAAAAACTAAAGGCTTGTAGGAATGGAAAGAGAAACTTCTGTTGTTTAGACCAGTCCTGATTTCATCTTCTAGACCTATTTGTCTTTCAAATGAGATGTGCCCATTTGAATTTTCAGTCCATTCTAGCTCCAACACCTTTCAATCCGTTTGTTCTGCTACAATTTAGCAGCAGCCTGCACACCCAAAATAATCACTAAAGACTAAACTCGTCAGAGTGATGCCGGCCACACTTTCAAGAGCATTTACACATCATATAAGAAACGGAAATCCCCGTACACAGTATGAGTCACTAAACTTCAGTCTATTAAACTGTGTAGCGACCTGCCTCCAGGGAGCTTGCTAGTCCTACATCATACCTCCCATCCTTCAATGTGGGACTGCAACTGTTCAAGGGCTTCCAGTTTCTCCATCTGTCTCTTGGTCTCGTTGATATTTGTGCAGACTGTCTTCATTGCCTGCAATGCGTTCTGGACAGCTGGGTGATCAGGATGCTTCGAGGGAGTCCTCTTAGCTAATTCCTTTAAAAAAAAGAAAAGAAAACATCCAATGTAAGCTTAGATGTGGCTCATGGAAAGGCACAAGCATTAGTGTGCAATCCCACAGGAAAATGGCAGAACCACTGCAAAACTAAAGAGAAGTTATGGGCATGTTACTGTAGATGCTGTTCTCTGTTCTTCATCTGTGCAGGGTTGCTGGTTTACATGAATTCTGCTAAATAAATGAAGCAATCACTCATGTTAAATATGCCAAATTAAGAGAGCTCAAGCCAAATACGTTTTGCTGTGCTACATATGTTTGCTTCTAGTGTGAACCAAAGCCAAATAAATTGAAAGATTACATAAAAAGCGCACTGTCTGCTTCAAAGACATGCGATGGACCGTTGACCTAGCCATGGTCTAGATGCTATCTAGTGATGTGCATCCAGTATTTCAGTGATGCTGGATTGGGCCCCTTTGACCAGATAAAAATTCTGCCCATAGCAGGTCTTAGGAGAAACCACTACAGCTATGGAAGCAGGGCTTTCTGTGAACTACGGCCTTACAGAAATAATACCTGGCTGTATACCCCACCCACAGTACTTACAGAAATGATCAGGTGTGTAGACTAATCCCAACTCACATGAAGCTTTAGGATCTAGGTTGTACAGATCTATAACCAGCAGAAGAATGCAAATGAAGTGCAGATCAGATTTACCCAAGAGTGGAACTGCCCTCATGAGAAGCCCTTCTCTTTCCTCTGACCAAAGAGGGATTCCAGTGAGACACCTCTCCTAACTCGGATACCTCAGTGTATCGGGTGTGTGCCCAGGCACGGGCGGGGGGGCCGCAGGGCCCCGTGAGGG